TGGGGTATAAAAACCTATCCATGTGCTCAGTCTCTCTTTCTTCTCCTCTGCTCCTTCTTGCAAGGACCATCTTTCTTCTGCAATAAACTGTAACCTTCTTCCCAAAGCAGTCGCCATATTTGCTTATTTATTCCCGGCTTGGATGAACCAGGATGAAGACTTACTTCTATCAATACAGTCTTCATCCGCTTATTTACAACACATGGCACATTCATCTTCTCAGGTTTTCCACATTGTTACATGGTGATATTCAGTGATGGGATTCAAATATGTGAACAACTGGTTCTCTCTGTAGATGCCTCTTCCAGAAGTCCATTCTGAGCCTTGGCAACAAAAAAATAGTTACCAGTTCTACCAAACTGTTGCAAACCGGCTGAATCCAACCACTGGTGATTTTATATCTGATGCTAGCATGTTGGGTGTCTATATATGTTTTCAGTAGCACTCTTTCTCAGTAATGAAAAGTTAGCACTTTCCAGCAGTCTTCTGGGCACATAACTATTTCTATAATTATGTTGTCCTTGCCTTGCTTTGCTTAGTGCCTGATAATACTTAGTTTGCTCAGTGCTCTGCTAATACGGTAGCTCCAAACCAGAGCTCCAAACTGATCAGAAAACACCCAGAGATCATCCAATTAACTGAATAGTGAGAAATTAAAATAAAAAAGCACGATATTGTCAACGCTGCTAACATCAGATATTTTTGCATTGACAACAGATGGAAATGCAGCCATCTTTTACCTTTTGCTTTTAGAGTTAGATGATGCTTGGAGGGGGAATGTGAACGAGAGTCCAGCTAGACATAACAACACTGGACCCAGTGTGAGAAACAAGGTTATTGTAACCAGAGCTGATAAGAAATTGGCGGGCTGGAGAATGGGAGAAGCCCCTGCTTCCAGTTAATTGGGGGATGTGATTTATGACTGTTAATTGGAGGAGGGAATTGTGCTTTGATACTATGTGCTCATGGGAGGGGAATTCAGTTTTTGCCTTCGATTATGCAGTGCCGATGTTATGGTACTCAAAATAAAGATGGGTCACTTCATCTCTGCGTTGATTATAAAGGTTTGAACGCTGTGAGTGTGAAAAATAAATACCCCTCCTCCTTCTGAAGAACTTACTAACCCACCTGGCAAAGGGGAGTGTCTTCACTAAGTTAGACCTGAGAGAGGCATATTACCGGGTGAGGATAAAGTGGCATGACTTTAAATTTATAGCTCCCCATGGGAAAGTTAAAAGCAGTCTTCCACTCATCTCCCTCCTTTATCCTCACCCGGTAATATGCCTCAGGTCTAGCTTAGTGAAGACACTCCCCTTTGCCAGGTGGGTTAGTAAGTCCTTCAGTCTCTAAAAGGTTCGCCATCACTGCACTATCTAGAGGGGAGGAAGGTGCCTTTCGTGGTATGGACTGATCAAAAAAATCTAGAAGTGCTGAAAACTCCCCACAAATTGTCCCCAAAACAAGTGTGATGGGCGTAGTACTTTAACCATTTTAACTTCACTTTAAAGTATATACCAGGAGGAAAAAACATCTTAGCTGATGCTCTATCCAGACTGCCCCAGTACAAAAGCCAGCATGAAGAGATTAATGAGGCAATTATCTCCAATCCACAAACAGCCTCACAACTCACTCCGCACAGAGTCCCACCTTCAAGAGCCCCTAACCCTGATGACCCTGGGGCAAAGAAAATAAAACAAGATCTCCTCACCGACCAATATTTCAAAGACAATCAAACATCCCTAATGTGCAGGGATGATTTGGCTTACAAGGGGGGAAAGTTATACTTGCCAGAGACCTTCTGCCTTAACGCTCTCCAACACGGCCATGACGTGAAACAGGCTGGACACTTTGGATATTTTAAAACACTACACCTCATCCGCCGGCAATTCTGGTGGCCGGGTTTGAAACAGGATGTGGAAAGATATATTAGGAGTTGTGCTGCATGTGCCACCATCAAAAGTATTCCAGGGAAACCCCCTGGGTTTTTGCAGCCAGTGGCAGACCCTTCCCAACCATGGGAAGAAATTGCTATGGATTTTATAGTAGATCTACCTGAAAGTAGAGGAAATACAGTCATCTGGACTGTAATAGATCTGTTTTCAAAGCAGGCTCATTTCATCGCCTGCAAAGGGCTTCCGTCTGCCCAACAACTAATCAAAATGTTTTTGAAACACATCTACCAGCTGCATGGCGCACCTAAACAAATAATCTCAGACGGGGGTGCAGTTCACAGCTAGGTTTTGGAGAAGTTTCCTTAAACTAATTGGTTCATCTCAAGGTCTATCATCTGCTTTTCATCCGGCTACTAATGGGGGGGGCTAAATCCGTGAACTCAATGGTGGAGTAATATCTCAGATGCTATGTCAACTACCAACAAACAAACTGGACTGACCTCCCTTTTGCAGAGGTGGCTGACAATAACTTTGTTCACAGCAGCACTGGCTTCACGCCTTTCAGAGTAGCCACAGGAAAAGAGTTCAGCCCAATACCTGAATATACCCAGGCGCCGTCCACTTCCCAGACACTTGATCAATGGGTGAAGGGGTGGGAAGTTTTGAAAACCATGAAAACTGCTTTAAAAAGGGCTTTTGAGACATATAAAAAGCAGGCGGATTAAAAAAGGGCTCCTCAAAGAACATTCCAAGTTGGGGAAAAGGTTTATCTGTCGACTAAATATTCATGGCTCAAATTACCCAGTAAGAAGTTAGGATCGAAGTTCTTGGGACCTTTCCCCATTGTAAAGATCATTAACTCAGTCACAGTGGAATTAAAACTCCCGAAGCTCCTAGGGAAAATTCACCCTGTTTTCCATTGCAGCCTGTTGAAACCTTATCGGGTTCCACTTTAAGACCTTTCCCTAAGAAGGCACCTGGACCCCTTGTGGTGGCAAGACAGACTCACTATGAAGTAAAGCATATTCTTGATTCTAGAGTTTTTAAAGGGAAATTGCAGTATTTAGTACAATGGAAAGGATATTCATTGTCTGAAGCCATTTGGGTGAAGTCTAGCGATGTGAAAGCTGATAGACTCATTACTAGGTTCTATAAGAAACACCCTAACAAACCGAGAGGCAATCCCCAACCTGTGCTTTTGTTTATAT